CCTTCACCAATTAAAACAAGGCCAAAACTCAGAGAGGCTAGCACCGCTAGCTCAGCTGGTAAGAGAGGACAATTGGGAGAGGGGGTGCGAACGCTCGCCTTCACCAATTAAAGACAAGGCTAGAATTCAGAGAGGCTAGCACCGCTAGCTCAGTCCAACAGTCTGAGGTTAGAGAAAATGACCGGGAGAGGGTGCGAAAAAACGCTAGCCTTCACCAATGAAAACAAGGCCAGGAACTCAGCTGGCTATGTAATAAGCAAACTTCAGAGCACAGTCCAACCGAACACGTGGTTGGAGGCCTCCAGTAAACAGGAGCGGAGCGAATGCTACCGCTAACCAATAGCAAAATATAAGCAAAAAAAAAAACCACTACTCACCAGTGTTAAATCACACACATAGTAGTCATAAACAACGTCGAAGCACAGTCCAGCCGACCACGCAGTTGGAGGCCTACCAACAAATGGGAGTGGAGCGAACGCTACCGCTAACCAACGGCGAAATATAAGGAAAAACACTACTCATCGGTGTTGAATCACACACATATAGTAGTCAGACGCTGTAAGTTGGGAGAGGCGGAAACTTCCGTAGTCCCCAACGAATCTGCAGAAAATACCTTTGAACAGGGTTAAACCATCGCTACTCCTTCCGACGGGCAGTCGGGCTTCAGACGACGATAAAAAGTTCAAAAAATGTCCAAAGAATTGAACATTGAACAACTGAATTGAACCGAGCGTGAGAAGAAAAAAGGAGCAGAGCTACGGATGACGTCGGGCTATATAGCCTCTGATTGGTCATCCGTGTCACACCTGTGACTCCGTTGGTATTATTACTCGAACAGCGCATGCGCGAAGGGAACATTCAGTGCTTTTAGCACCGCCTTCTGGCGGTCAGGAGGGATGAAATAGAACAGCTCTTATTGTCGCAGCTGCGTGATGAAAATCACATCAATTTGTTCTCAGGGCAGCTTCTCCCGCCCCTTCTTAGGCCTAGGCTGAACTTTTCCTCACAGGTGTCCACACACAGTATTGTGTGACTGGTCAGAAGTTTGAGGGCATGTTCATTTATGCTGAAATGTGCTCAGACATTCAGCTGTAAGATTCTTCAAACACACCAAGTCAAATGGTCAAAACTCCTGGATGGAGATCATGCAGACATTGTGCAGACATCATGCCCAGAGGAGTCCATCTGCTGAAAAGTGTGGCGCTTTCTTCATGACGGATTTGTGGCCTAACGGTGGATTCAGGGACGGAGTGGAGACTCTGGCATGAAGAAATCTGTGTAGTGATGTTTACTGAAGCGGGAGGGGTTTCCCAGGAGCTCTGCGTCTGTGTCCTGTGGACTATGACAGTCGACTGTTCGGCTTCAGGTGGAGTATGCCGGGCTCTTTAAAGCTCTACATGCTTAGAGCACAGGCTTTGTTGGCTTTGTGGCACACATAGGAGGCAACGGGGGTTCAATGTCTTGCCCAGGGACACTTCAGCATGCGACTGCTGGTGGAATCGAACCTCCAACTCTTGCATTGGAGGATGACTGCTCTAACCACTCAGCCACAGCTGCCCCCAATGATCAAGGTGATGTAATCTGAGCGGGACATCATACATATAAACCAGCCGATGCTGTGCTGTTTGAAACTGTGTGAAAACTCTTGTTTACTTGTGTTTTTTTAATTTTACACAGTTCTGTTGAAGTTCTGCTGAGCCTCATCAGGAAAAGTTTGAGAGCCACAGGTGTATTACCTCCCGTTTATTTTTGTCACAAATGTGTAATTTGCTTTAGACTTCCTTGGTGATGATGATGGAGGTAATTAAACTCTCACCTTTTCCGTAACAAACTTGTTGATGTCTACATCCTCAGGCAGGAAGTCTGTCCACTGAAGCCCCGCCTCCCGCCACACGGTGCCAGCCTTTTTATGGCTCTGATGGAGAGATAAGAACATGATAGAAGAGATGATAAACACAGTAATAAAAGATATCACTCCTCACTGCCACATATTTATTAGCCTCTTGTTTTTAACCATCAATAAAAAGTGAAAAATGTGTTGGTTTTAAAACAAGGCTAAATTCACACACAGGATACAATGGTAAAGCCTCACCATTTCTTTGCAGAGTAAAGTAAGGATGTGGACCAGCAGGACTCCAGCTTTGCCCAGAGGAACCAAAGGCTTTGAAATCTCCCTGAAGTCGACCAGACAAGAGGAAATTAAAAATCAAACTTGACTATTGGTTTGGTCTCGAGATGGTCCTGGAGCTAACCTGAACAGTTCTCCCATGGGGATACCCCCCTCGTGCAGCATGGGAGTGATCAGCTCAGCCAGGTAGAGGAAGATGTGGGGGATGTCGATCTCCATGTCTTCAGCCACCTCCAGAATAGCTTGAAACCTGAAAACATTTAGAAAAACCACCAACACAAACATTTAGTCAAGAAAAATAAAGAGTGAACAAGATGTTGGACAAACCACTTTAGACCGCTCGTGTTTCATAATTGCTTTAGTCTGAGCGCAGCTTAACCCACTGCACACAAATCAACCCTGACTTTTAGCTTTGTCTGCCATGTTTTCTCGTTGGAAATGAATGGAGCTCTCTTCACGTCCTTCAAACTCTTTGTGCTGTTCACAACCTTTTGCTGCTCATTTCAGCTGTTGTTCTGGTTCCACAGTTTTCAGCTCCTTTCGGCTCATTTATACTTTTTTGTTCTTTTATCAACCTCATCTGGTTGTGGGGGAGTGGTGGTGCAGAGGTTAGAGAAGGTGAGCCTGTGACTGGAAAGTTGCTGGTTCAACTACCTGGACTAACAATATCAAAATGTGAGTGGGAAAGGTGAAGCATCCACACCTGCCTCTATCCTCATTTGCCCCACTCTGGGCCCTTGAGCAAGGCCCTTAACCCCCACCATCTGCTCCCCTGAGCGCTCTAGATAGCAGCTCTCTGCTCCACACAGAGGGCTGTGGTAGCTCGGTGGTCTGTGGTTGTGTCAGGAAGGACATCTGGTGTAAAAACAAAATGTCAAGTCTTTGTGTGAGATAGTTCGCTGTGGCAACCACTGATGAAGGGAGCAGCCGAAAGAACAAATGGGAGGACTAATTTCAGCTTTTTGTGCTCCTTTCAGCTTCTTTATGCTGAAGTCAGATTTTTTCAGCTATTTTTACGTATTTTTCAGCTAATTTTAGTCTTTTGTGATTCTTTTTCAGCAACTTTGTTGCTTTTTTCTGCTCAATTCAGTGCGTTTTGTGTGTACTACTTTTAGAGTTTTAAAAATCTATTCATCCTCCTTCTATTTTAGCTCATTCTGCTCCATTTCTGCTCTATTCAGATTTTTCTACACATTTCTGCAATTTTTCATCTGCTTTCTCCTTTATGTTCCTGATTGCTGCAAACGTCAGCTGTTCAAATTCAACTCGCAGTAACAGTTTAGCCAGGAAACTTTTTCAGCCAGTATTTGATTTTCCATTTATCGAGGCAGCCGTACCAGAGCCTGCCTCTGAGATTCTGTTTGTTTCCACTGCCAAAAGCCTTGGCTCCAGCACTTGAAACAGTACCGTCTCAGCATCAAGTCTAAACTAAAGTAACTGAGAACCAGAGCAAAAGACCATGAGCTGAAGGCAAGATCTTAGAGAACAAGAACTACCGTAATTTTCACCGTATAATGTTTTTTGCATTTAACATTCCTGCAACTTATATGGCAAAGCGACATATTTATGGTTTTTCTCCATGTTTATAATTAAGTTTTTGGCTGAGATCTGACGATTTCATTCATTCTGATATGGAAAATATTGAACATTACCATTTTCAGCCACTAGAGGGATCTAGACGAATATGGCAACCCAAGAAAGCTATGTTTACCTATTAATGAGACACTTTGCTTTACAAAGGTCACCTTCGTCACGCTTCGGAACTCCTGGATCAAATGTCAAATCAGCTGCATTTCGTCGCACTGCCCAGGTGAAATGCAGCTGATTTGACCATTAAAGTGCATTTATTAAGGAAAAATTTAAACTGAGACACACCTTTACTATAATGTCGAGCAAACAAATAATTGTTTTTAGGTGGTTATCTTGTTAAATTTCGAAGAAATGCACAGCAACTCATTCCTCTGCACACTCCCGCGGCAGCAAATCGGCTTTTCAAATGCCGCTGATTTAACTATCAAAGTGCATTTATTAAGGAAAAGTTCAAATGAGACACAACTTTGCTATAATTTTGAGCAAAAAAATTATTGTTTTTAAGTGTTAATCTTGTTAAATTCTTGTTCAAGTCCTCCCATGCATGCTCCCGTAGCCGCCATTTGGCAGCCAATAGATTTTTGGCACAACACCGGCCCACATTTCTGGGTGTTCAGCGGTGACTTGTAACAAACACGACGCGTCAGCGGTGATGCATAATAGATGAGATTTATACAGCGAAAATACATGTTTTTTCTAGATTATCATTATATTTGGACTGATGCAACGTATATGGAGTGTGACATTTATGGAGGCAAGTACGGTAATGAAAATACGCTGAATGTCACATTAAAAACTCCAAACATAGCTTTTTATTTACCACCAGCTGCAGAGTGGTGTTGCTGTTGTATCAGGAAGGAGCGTAAACTATCGTAATATCCAGACTATAAGCCACTACTTTTTTCACAGGCTTTGAACCCCCGCGGCTTATTCAACGCTGTGACTAATTTATGGATTTTTTTTTTTGATGGGCTAACGAGCTTCATGCCACCAAAACATTTAGCCTCGTCACAACCGGGCCCTCACAGAGCTGCCAAAAACAGGTCTCTCTTGTGGGGGTGAGTCCTCGTGACTCAATGAGACTACCTGTATAAATAAAGGGGGAAAAAATCTGACCAGTGGAACCACCACTGGTCACAATAGACCAATGACAGTTGGTTTCATTGGTCTACGGGGATGAGGTGAGACAAATCTCTCCTCCCCTCCCAGTTGTACCCCCAGAGGGGGGTAAGTATTTGCAGCTACTTGAAATAAGTGTGAATCGCGCATTTAAAATGACAGCACAAGCTGTTCTCTATCCTTGCAGGAGGAAGATGAAGATATCAATATTCCTGGTGGGCTATTGTTTTTTTTTTTTTTTTTTTTTTTTTTTTAACCAGTCATGTTACCAGCACTGTTCTAAATAAAACATTTACTGTACGTATTTGTGTATGTTACCAGTACATATTCAATTAAAAGTTTAAATATCTCATGTCACGTTACAACGTGGACACCCACGGCTTATACACAAGTGCGACCTGTATATGTATTTGTTTTTTTCTTTTTAAGTTTAGTGGGCGTGGCTTATATTCAGGTCTGTTCAATAGTCCATAAATTACTGTACATTTGTTTATTTGCCAAACAATTCATGAGAATTTGCTCACTGTGGCAAATCTGTAGAAGGGAGCAGCCAAAAGAAAAATAATAAACAGCTGCAAAGTGGAGGAAGGTGGTCACAGAGTGGCATACTATCTACTAACTCCATTTTCAGCTGCATTCAGCTGCATTCATAAACTTTTTGTTGTCACTACTGTCTGGTGTTTATAAACCTTACTTGAATTTGTGGAGCAGTTTATTCATACTGGGAGCATTCACAGACGATAACATGATGTGTGTTTGCAATGATGAAGAGACAAACCCTGTGATCTGTGAACACTTAGTGTCTCTCTGGACTGGGATCATCTGGAGAAATTCTGAATTTACTGGAAGAGATGTTTGAAGTGATGTTAATGGTGCAGCTCTGACGTGGCTCACTGGTTGTGGAAAACCAAAATGGTTTTTTGACATTAAGAATCGTCTCTGGCACTGGAACCGCTGACAGAAATAAATAAATGAAATAAAAAGCACGGCTGAAATTGCCGAGATGTTTTGTCACAAGAAGGTTGGTAAATGTCCTGTATTAGGGATGCACAATATTATTGGCAAGGTATCAGTATCGGACGATATTAACGAAAAAGTTAAATATTGGACATTGGCCATTCCATCCAAATAACTCACCTATGTTAAAGGCACTGTTTTTGTATGACAACCCAGAGACACAAACAGACAAATACACTGCCTGGCCAAAAAAAAGTTGCCACCAAAAAAAAAAAGGGTCATACTAATATTTGGTTGGACCGCCTGTAGCTTTGATTACAGCATACATTCACTGTGACATTGTTTCAATAAGCTTCTGCAATCTCACAAGATCTATTTCTATCCAGTGTTGCATTAATTTTTCACCAAGATCTTGCATTGATGATGTCAGATTTTGACCACTGCACAAAGCCTTCTCCAACACATCCCAAAGATTCTCAATGGGGTTAAGGTCTGGACTCTGTGGAGGCCAGTCCATGTGTGAAAATAATCTCAAGCTCCCAGAACCACTCTTTCACAAGTCGAGCCCGATGAATCCTGGCATTGTCATCTTGGAATATGCCCGTGCCATCAGGGAAGAAAAAAATCCACTGATGGAATAACCTGGTCCTTCAGTATATTCAGGTAGTCAGCTGACCTCATTCTTTGAGCTCATACTGTTGCTGAACCTGGACCGGACCAACTGCATCAACCCCAGATCATAGACTGCTCTACAGGCTTGTACAGTAGGTATGATGGGAGCACCACTTCACCTGCCTCTCTTCTTACCCTGATGTGACCATCACTCTGGAACAGGGTAAATCTGAACTCATCAGACCACATGACCTTCTTCCATTGCTCCAGAGTCCAATCTTTATGCTCCCTAGAAAATTGAAGCCTTTTTTTCCAGTTAGCCTCACTGGTTAGTGGTTTTCTTAAGGCTACACAGCTGTTCAGTCCCAGTCCCTTGAGTTTCCTTCACATTGTGCGTGTGTGTGGAAATGTTCTTATTAAACATAGTCCTGAGTGCTACTGTTGTTTTTCTTCCATTTGATTTTACCAAACGTTTAAGTGATCGATGATCACAATCATTCAGGATTTTTTTCTGGCCACATTTCTTCCTCGAAGTCGATGGGTCCCCACTTTTCTTCCAGTTCATCCTTGTTGCAGCTGACATAATCATCCGTGCAGTAACTATCCAATAGGAGGCTCGTACCTATTTACTTAGTTAAATACAGGTGGCGGCTTTTTTGGCCAGGCAGTATATTTATCTTTTCTAGTGAGGCTCACATCAGTTCATCAATGGATCAGTGGTACCTTACTTAATGATTTTTCTAAAGTTGCTGAACATCCAGCAGACCAAACTAAAGATTTTAATAAATATAAGAAAGGCGCTAAACTATTCTTCTTGTCCTTTTTACTATTAAAACAGGATGAACGTGGGATTTCACCCACTGCTCCTACCTTTTGGTTTAGTTTTGGTAAAATAATAAAACTAAAATATCTTGAATGTTACTGTTTATCTGTGGCTGAAGACTAATCGATTGATTTTCTTTATGCTTCAACACAGCAAACTAAAAATGAATGATGCAGTTATTATTTTTTTATGAGAACATTTTCTTTGGTACTTCAGGCACCAACTCCAATGTTACTTTACTAGAATAAATGTTTATTTTAAAGCCTAAACTTATATTTATTATTTGCTGGCCAATAATTCGATATTGGTATACATCACAATATATTTTTGTTCAATAATGGTGACATGAGTTTTAAGCACGTTTTCGATATTTCGATATGATTACAGTGTTTCACTGATGCACTTCTTTTTCTGTTCGGGTTGAAGCGGCAGCTTCACTTTCAACCCGAACAGTAAAAGGTGCAACTTAAATACGTAAGTGTGTGGTGACGTACACCACAGCTCAAAGAAGTCAGAGGTAGCAGGATGGGCTAAACTCCAACGTGCAGTAAGTTTTCACTTCAAAATGAGTTCCCATGACCGTCAGAATGTGACTGAACAAGCTTTCACAAGTGAAGAGAAAGCAGAGGACATAAACAATAAGAGAGGAAAGACTAATTCGGCGATGTGGAAGTGGTTTGGCTTCCTAAGATCCGATAAACTGCAGGTTCCAGTCAGTGTGCTGCAAAATGTGCCGGAGAGTCGTTCCAACTAGCGCTGGGAACACATCAAACTTGTTCCACTTGATAGAATATGATGAGTCAGAAGTTGAAGAACAATAAAAGTTTGAGCCAACGTGCCCCTGAAACAACACCTCCAGCTGTATCAAAAGAGAAACTTAACATGTTAGTTTATGTTGTTGTTTAAAGTTAAAACTATTAATATTGACAAAGTTGAGAGTTTTATGTTTATGTGACGGTGATTTCAATTTTTTTTTTCAAGGCTAAATACAAAAGGTGAACATTAATTTATTTGTACAGTTTGCACAGTTTTTCTGAAGCTTTTATATTGTTTATAACGATATCGAATTATATCGTTATCAACCTAAATTAAGAAATAGATTGTGGTAAAAGTTTTGACCATTTCGTCCAGCCCTACGTTGTCATAACAAAGTTGTGGTGTTCACTCACCCTTTGTAGTACTGCTGTTTTGGGAGCAGGCCCGTCTTGATGAGCTGATGCAGCAGCTGACCCATGTGTTCCCTGACGATGGTGCTGCGCTCCAGCGTCGACTCCAGCCCGTTTCGTACGAACACAAACAGCAGCTCGGTGCTGTTCAGCTCACGCACACACTGCAGAGCCTCCTGATGGACAGACACGGAGAGGTCAGAAGACATCTGAACGCTGGGAGAGTCCTACTAAAAGGGCTTAAATTAGAACAACTAAAACCTCTGGGTTAGTGCAGGAAGGAAAAATTTATAGTTATAAAGAGCTGGGAAAACTATTCACCCCCTTACAGATTTAATTAGTTTGTAAGACTTACAAGTTTCAGATCAAACAAAGATAACCTGGATAAAAACAAAATGCAGCTTTTAAATTAATATTTTGTTTATTAAAGAAAAATAGCTCTCCAAAAATAACCTGAGCCAGACCCCAAATGTTCTGAAGCTCAAGGTCACAAACTGGCTGTGGTGCAGTGGTAGGGCGGTTGGCTTGGGACCTGAAAGTTGTAGGTTTGATTCCCTGCCGTATATTGCGGTGTCGTAGAGGGAGACACCTATTGTCAACTGCTCCCAGGTGCTTAAACAGCTGCTGCATGCGAGAGGTTAAAGAGCACGGCTAGTCATTGTGTGAGCGCATTTATTGATGACGCAGCACTTTTTTCACCAACGGTGGTGGAGAGCCTAATTTGTGGTTTCATCAATTACAGCAAGTCGTCCAGGTCCTGAAACAGTCCCAGACCATCACAATACCACCACCATGTTTGAATGTCAGTATGATGTTACTGTTTCTCAGTGCCAGTGTTTTTAATCAATCTTTATTTATAAACGGACAAATCCCATTGAATCACAGAGCTCTTCTGCTAACGGGGCCTGAAGGCAGCCTAACATGCATGTTTTTGGACCGTGGGTGGGAGGAAACTGGTGTACCTGCAGAAAACCCACACAAACACGAGGATGACATACAAACTCCACACAGAAAGACCCCAGGCCCTAACCAGGGATTGAATCCAAGACCTTCTTGCTGTGAGGCAACAGTGCTAACCACTGAGCCGTCATCCAAACACTTTCTTTTGTCTCTCCAGTCCACAGAAGTCTCAGGGACCATCAGGATGTTCTTTGGTAAATGTGATTTGGGTCTCTGTGTTGCTCAGGAACAGTTTTGAATTGTCTAATGGAGGCCATTCTGACCTTTGACCCTTTCTTATTGTTGAATCATAAATTCAGAGCCTACAGGGTTTAGATGTTCTTCTGGGACCTCCTGAATTAGTCGTTGATGCGCTCTTGGGAGTAACTTTGAACGGCCGGCTACTCCTGGGAAAGTTCACCACTGGTTCACAATGTGTGTGTGGGGGCGGGGTGGTGGTATTACTTTACACACAGAAAAAAATCCTCATATGAAAACTGCTTTTTGTATTCAACCAGGTTATTTTTTTTTGTCAAATATATAAATTAGTTTCGCAACTGGTAGAGCTGCTGCCTCTCAGCGAGAAGGTCCTTGGTTCAAACCCCGGTCCAGGGGCCTTTCTGGGTGGAGTTTGCATGTTCTCTCCGTGCATGCGTGGGTTTTCTCCGGGTGCTCCGGTTTCCTCCCACAGACCAAAAACATGCATGTTAGGCTGATTGGTAACTCTAAATTGTCCCTAGGTGTGAGTGAGAGTGTGAATGGTTGTTTGTCTCGATGTGGCCCTGTGATGGACTTGCGACCTGTCCAGGGTGTACCCCGCCCCTCGCACAGTGATTGCTGGACATGGGCACCAGCGACCCCCGTGACCCAAAATGGAATAAACGGGTAAAGATAATGGATGGATGGATGGATGGATGGATAAATTAGTTTCCCGAACTGAAACATTTGAAGTTTGACAATAAATAAAGCAAAATACATTTTGTCAGTTTCTTTAGCATGTTGTGAAACAGTTCGTAGGCCGTTTATTAGAAGGAGCACTGGAACAAACCTTCATGTCATTGATGTGGAGGTACTCTTCAATGATAGCTGTAGACTTCTTGTCCACCTCTTCCTCAGTCAGGGCAGGTTTAGTGGGGGCCTGAGGTGGGGGTGCGGCAGCTGGCTCCTGGTCCACTGTACACAAAGAACAAACATGTGCATGTGCCTCGAAAAAGCACAAGAACTGTACCAGTACATAGTTCTCCTGCAGTGAGAGGGGATGAAGTTTGACAGCCTACCTTTCTCTTTGCACCTGGCTCGCTCTCTGCTGCCTCCATCTTGCTTGTCTGTCATGCTCGCCACGCGGCGGATGGAACCAGAAGACCCGCTCTGGTCTCGTTCTCGGCTCCGCTCCTCCTTGTCCCGGCTGAAGCTGCGCTTAGTGAGCTGCAGTCGGTGTCGGTCGTCTCGTCTCTCGTCCCGTCGGTCAAAGCGGTCAACACCTCGATCGGAGCGTTCAAAGTGGTCGCTGCGTTCTCGACTCGAGCTGTTTCTGTTGACGAACATCGAGAGTGCGCGGTCATGCTGAAAGTCTCACACAGTTTGTTTAAGTAGATGGTGGGAACTAAAGCTCACCTCTGAGGGACTCTTCTGTCAGAGTCTAGTGAAGATCCAGACGACGATGACGGCTGCTGTAAGGCGGAGAACCTGTTCAGAGTGGCTGGACGGCTTCCTGACTCTGAGCACGGATAAGAAGTGAACGCCATAAAATTAAATTCTAGTTTAAATGTACGGTGGCCCTAAGGTGTAAATGAACAACATTTGAATAAACACAACAAAAACAACAAAACCACAACATTTTAAAAACCAGAAGTATATTAAGCCAAACAGGAAGTTTAAATTTTTATTTTTTACTTTATTAACAGCATAAAACCAAACAACATAACAATATACAGTACATCCTGATGCATGTTCAATAATCCAGGTAGAAAAATCTAAAAAAAGTTAAGTCAGGTCCTCTGGAGGCCTCCGTGTTCAACTGTCCCCCTCTTACAATGTTGTTATTGCTAGTATCACTCAGCCCCCTGCGAACAGTAAACAGTCATCAGGGTGCTAATGATCCATCGTTAGGATGATGGTCATTCTTGATCATGTCAGAGTCAGAGTTTCTTTACTGTCATTCGCACCTCATGTGGTCATGTGGTGGAGCGAAATTATGTACACAGGGTTCCAGTTACATCCAACAATAAAATGTAAAAGAAAATCAATGATAATATCTAGGATATGAACTAAGAAAAACATCCAACTAAAAATACACTAAGCACTTATAGCACAAAAAACATTACGCTGAACAGCAGCACGAACATGAGTCTGTGTGAGCAGATGAGCACGCATGAACACATCAACAGGAAACAGATCAGCAGCAACATGAAACAGATCAGCAGCAACATGATGTGATTTTTCACAGTGATTATTCTGGTTAGAAATTCGTGAGTCTAACAGCCTCAGGGTAGAAGCTGTTGGAACAGCTAGTTTTAAATGTCAACAGCAAACTGGTTGATCTACTATGAGAAGGTGCTATTTATAAGACTGAGCTGAATACAGCACCTCAGACTGAAGAAGTCTTTCAGATGAAAGACGAAACATTTCTACAATTTATTTATTTTTTTGTTGTTGTTTTTGAACATCCAGAGGACTTGACAACTTTTGTAGAATATACAGTGCACACACATCTCCATTGTGTGTGTACTGTATATGGTTCTGTTGTTCAGTTTTATGCTGTTAATAATGTAAAAAAAAAAAAAAAAATCCTGTTTGGTAAATGGACTGTACTTATATAGCGCCTTTCTATCTTATCGAGATACTCAAAGCACTTTACATTACAATCTGTGTCCTCATTTATCCATTCATACAGCACTCTACTAGATCTCTACAAAGCTAATTGAACAAATCATTCTAAAGAGACCAATCAGTGCTTTATCACATTCATACATCGATGGGACACACATCGGAGGCAACGAGGGGTTCAGTGTCTTGCCCAGGGACACTTCGGCATGTGACTGCTGGTGGATTCGAACCCCCAACTCTTGCATTGGAGGACGACTGCTCTAACCACTCAGCCACAGCCGCCCCTTAATGTAATTCCATTTTTTCAAATGTTGTTCATTTACACCTTAGAGCCACCGTATAAATGTGTTTAACTAGACCTTTAACTTGTATCTAAAAGCTTATCAACCATGAAGACGTACCAGAATCCATAGGTTTGGCACTGCTGCCACCACTGCTGCCCTTACCCCAGCTCCCCCATGTACCTTTACCTCCGGGGGCGAGCAACTGATTGTTGAAGTCAAGAACAGGTGTCTAAAAAAAAAAAAAAGATTGTTTTAAAAACTGACTACAGACGACAGACTTGTGTTAATCCTGCTGCATATGGACACTGACATCAACTTTATTACCTTAGTGATTTTACTAAGGCGAGAGGTGTCAATGGGCCGGTTTTTGGAGATGGGTACTGTATTCCAGCCCTCATCTTGTGGGGGAGCTCCACGACCAGGGGTGTGAGGACCACCCCGACCTCCAGCGCCTCCGCCCATTCGACCTCCTGGCCCTCCACTGGATTCCTTCTTTGAGATGAGGGCTTGCTGCACCTTCATCTGCTCTCTGTGTTCCTCCAGCTCGGCGTCTTTGTGGATCTGGTCAATGGTCTTTGGGCCCTGGTCTCCTCGCCGGGGGACCCAGTTATTCTAGGAGCGAGTAATTGAAAGAGAAGTAGAACAGTAAGGTGACGCGGTTTTACTTAATGAAACAAATCCAACACGGTAAACTCCTTTTATGGCATTACAATTTTTTAAAAGATGTAGCAGATCATCTCACAGAAGCTAAAATAACATGCCAAAAGAAATCCAACAACGTTAAGTCAGGTCCTCTGGACGGTTTCTTTTGGGTGAATAAAAATAAACCATCCAGAGGACCTGACTTAACTTTATTGGATTTTTCTGCCTGAATTATTGAGCATGAATCAGGATATGCCAAAAGAAAGTAACTTCATTATATTGAACAAGATGTCTCAGCTTAGAGCACAGAACAATTTTGTGTTTAGGAGACACCCTGCATTAAAGAGCTGTTTCTCCCGGAGCCCATTACTGCAACCAACACAGACCAGGGCTAAAAGACCAGCCAAGGTATTTCCTTGGCTGTTATATTTTATTGCACCAAACACTCACAAATGCAAAGTAGAAAATGCTAAACGCTCATATTTCCTTTTAGAAATACAAATACCTTCCTTAAAAACTCAGATGTGAATTTAATCCCAGCAGAGAACAGATATGTTTAAACCATAGTTCTGTCTGTGTATGAAGATTATACTTCTGGTAAACTCTTCTGCTGCTCTCAGTCCTGCTGCGTGGCACTTTTTATTTCTCTGTAGCAACACCTACTGTCCAGAAGGAGGACAGCAGGATGTGTGGTGTATTTCAGTGTAAAAACCACCACTGCAACTTACAGATGACATGACAGAAATGTATTTAATGATAAAACTCTGATCAGTTTCATCTACCATATTCATAACCCGCCTGCTGGCCTTGGGTCAAAAGGACTCACAAGGCTTTGATCTGAACAATAAGGTCTTGTTGTGGGACACTTTGACCCAAGGGCATCAGCAGGGTTAAAACCACAGCATTCATTATTCGCACAATCAACAGTGCAGTTGCTGTAGGAGGGTGGAGAAGAAGGAAGCAACACTAAAATAGCCCAGAAGTTTAATGGTGGGCAGTCTTACAGTTACAGAGGATGCAATGAGACAAACAGAACGAGAGGCAGAGCTGACAACAAACCAGTGACCTGTTGGCAACAACATGTGTATCATACCTGATCTACAAACACACCTTTAGATCATTGTTTTAGAAGGTCCCCAACTCTGACCTCTGTGACCTAGTGTCTTGCATGTTGTAGATACTTCCCTGCTTCAACACATCTGACTGAATCAAATGAGTCAATGACCGGCGACTGCCAAACCTAAAGACATTCTGAGCAGGTGATTCATATATTTGAATCAGGTGTGTTGAAGCAAAGAAGCATCTACAACATGCAAGACAGTGGGCCACAAGGACCAGGGCTGGTGACCTCTGCAAGAAGGTTTGCAGCCTGTTGCTTCCTGTGTGGATCTGAAAAGGTCAACATAAAAAATACCACACAAAAAATAACTTTAAATGATCCCAGTACCATCTATTTTAAAACTGAACTACTGCAGTCACATTAATGGATCGGGTCATTCTGACTTCTGATTGGCTATTCAGAGAAATCTGACAGACTGTGGTGTCCTACAGACTTAAAGACTTATGTAATTTACTGTTCTGTCTCACACAAATGGTAAATACAGCAGGTGTACTGTGGCTTTCTGTCAATTTCACATCCACTGGTCTGAAGGACGTTTAAAAATAACATTAATCATGAACAATGACTAAATGTTGTTGCTCTAACTAACTAAAAAATAAACAATGTTATGTTTGAAAAAGTTATTTACAGCAAATTTGGTGCATGACAAAGAAACTGAACAAATATATTTAAATCTCCAACAATTTTCACTCGGGTCATCTGGACAGTTTCTTTTTTTTGTGCCGAAACGTTTCACCTTCCATCCAGAAGGCTTCATCAGTCAAAGAAACACACAACACAAAACTGATTCTTCTCCCAAACAGCTTACTCAAAAGTGGAACAAACCAGTTATGTTGGTGCTAAGATGGTGTCTTTGGCACGCCCCCTCCTCCAGTGCCTGCCCTCTTTCTCGTCGACAGTCATGTCAAAGTGGTTCAAAACCAACAATAGTTATAGTAGTTATTGAAGAGTTGACAAAACATGTTAATGCTAATCTAAAGAAGTTTAGTCTGGTCATCTGGACGAGTTCTATAAACAAAAAAAAAAAATGAAGCGTTTTGTCTTTGCTAAAGCAAAACTCACAAAGAAGTCAAATCTGCTCCCCACATTCTCCCATTTGAGCCAATTAAGGAGACTCACACAGCAAAATGGCATTCATCTTTTTATTCTCACTTAAAGTAAGTAAAAGTGTGGTGTGATGCACAAATAAACACTGTTTATCATGTAGGGTGTGTAAGTCTCAGAAAAACTCAAAAACTCTGAGTTGATCCTCAAGCGAAGGTCTAGACATCAGAGTGGAGTTGCTGTTTGAAATACTTAAGACTGCAGCTCTAATTTTAAGCAGCTGATGTCGCTGCTGAGGAAAAAAAAACCTGAAACAAGAAGAAGAAAAGTGCCAAGTGCCTTTTCCTACCTGTTACAAAAACTTAACTGCAGTTTTATTCTGCTTTCACGTCAACATTTGCAACAACCATCTTCTTGAGTTTTGTTCAGTCATACAGGACCAAACTGCAATTTCTGGCTTGCTCTTCTTTCGTTTTTAATTACACCACTCAAGCAGCGTGCGTCAAGTTACAATAAGACTGTAGTAATGTTGGGACCACTTTGCTGTGGACACACTATTTAATTAATAATTATTAAAGCTAGTTCAAGCACAAAGAATATTAATTGTTTAATTAACAACAGATTCTTTCTTTTTCGAGTTAAATTTCTGCCATGTGACCAAGATAACTTGAGAGTGGAGTGAATAATTAGTGACATGAGACGCCATTTATCTTTGACCCATCAGAATAAATGCGGTCATTTATTTAACAGAATCAAAATTTGACATCAAAACATGTATACTTGATTTGCTGATCTGTTTCTGATTAATAAACTTAGCAAGTTCAAATAAGACAACAGAGGATTACTGATGGAGAATAATTCATCTCTGAAGGCACCTAGCTTGATTTACTGGCGAATAGAAGTTTAAAGAGAAGGAGTAAAGAAGTTTAAAGATTTAAAGAGGAGGTTTAGATGGATGAAGGAAGATGTGTTGACCAGAAATGGCACACTTCCTCCGACCCCAGCTCAGCCCTCGGTACACTCAGGAATGTGACGACTCTTTACCTTTGCAGAAGCTAAATCAGCTCCGGTACAGAGGTCCATTTCACGCTCCCTTTTCAGCGTCTCCGGTCAGCGTGGCTGGTAAACGTCAGAAGTCGTGAAGAAGTACTCCGTTCAACAGAATAAGCTTTCTTAGAAGGAATCTTCATTAGAAGTTGTAGGTAGTTACGCCCAGGTGAGTTCACAGCGAGGCATGCTGTGACTCCGCTGAAATGGACGGACCCTTGGCACATGGTCCCATTCCATCAGCTCGCTGTAAGACTGAGTCTTCCAGTAAGACTGAGTCTCATCCTAGACAAAGTTCCAGGAAGACTCGTAAAACTTAAAAGTTCCAGGAAGACTGAATAGTTCCAAGAAGTGTGGACTTTTAAAGGGTATCCACTTCCTGTCACTTGGTACTTCCTGACTGGTTAGCACAACCAGCAGGGGTTGAGTTTTTGTGATGTCAGAGGGTTATTAGAAGTCAACAGACAGCAGAAATGTTTTTAAGAACGGTTAGTACAGACAGGAAAATATTTTGAAGAAATGACAGACTTTGCAGGTGCCAGTTTCTTATTTACTGTCTGAGAGTTTTAAAAACAAGGCACTTCGTTCTCATAACTTGTTCTGACTTTTGACCGACATCAAATCCCCTCCTCACTCAGAAAGAAGATTAAAATGCACACTTACTTCATAAATAGACATTTAATTTGTATGATCTAAGTCTAATGAGGTTTAAAAATCATTAATACTGTTTCACCGTTGATTTAAATGAGTGGTTTACTTCAACATTAGAAATGGTATGAACTAAACACACTTTTGATTATCAAGATATTGTAAAATAGTAATGATAATATAAAAAAGAAGAGTGTTCTTTCAACTGATTAATTCAGGATACAATTAAATGGTTTCTTGATGAGAAAATTTGTATTTCTGGATTCAAATCAATGAAATAACAGTTCCTGTCCCCTGAAGGTCTTCAGAGACAGATTGATGTTGGAAGTCTAGTTCACTACAAGACTCATCATACGATCATCAACAAACTACTTGTTCAAGCAAGGGCCCGGACAAGCAAAGACATTGCTGAACCTTTGACCTTGATTTTAGACTTGTAGTACCCATCATCAGATTATCTGGAGCATATCAGAAGTTGTGGCCCGGTCAAGAGAATATTAACAGACGTATGGAAACTAGGGCTGCAACTAACGATTATTTCATTAATCGATTCATCGGCCGATTATTTTTTCGATTAATCAATGAATCGGCAAAAAAACAAAACGTTTTAATTTCCACCTCTTTATTCCAAAATTGAACATTTGACTGACATAGCAATTAGCACAAAAAACAGTTTGCTATTTGACTATTCTGTTAGTAAAATATTGATTAATAAAAAATAAAAGTTAGTCAAATAGCTTTAAAAAATAAATGTACACAAAAATATATACAAATGTATGCTTTATACCTGCACAATATGTAGTCTACTTTGTAAAATGTGTCCTTGAGGGAAGAGTGTAACCTGGATTAAAAGTGTGGATCATTGTAGTGAAGCCTTCGTCTTCAACCATCGACAGAGGCCTCATGTCAGTGACGATCATTTAAGGATGTTATCAGTGAAGACAGCTGCTGCTGTGGTGTCCATGATGTCTGTCCATCATGAAGGCTGTCATTGTTTGTTGTTGTTTTCTGGAATGAGAGAGTAAATATGTATTATAGCATAATTTATAGCAACTCAAGAAATGCCTTGTTTTACTTACAGTGTTAGGTTCAGGCAAAAGTAGCTAAAAGAGCAATTAAACACATACACACACACAAAATACTTAATTACACACATTTGAGTAGATGTAATAAATTACTTTAATTCCTGTTTAAATGCAATTCATCCTGCCATACCTGCAGTGTCTTCAGACTTTGCCAGCAAATTAAAAGTTGAAGCTTAATCATTAAATTATTATCTTTGTGTTAGATTTATTTATAAATCACATTTCAACACTGCTTGTGCCAATTAAATTAAATAAAAAGTAACACACGTTCTCTATCACCGTCATTAATCAGCAAACAAACAAGCAGCAGCTTCAGCTACAGAGAGACTGACGTTACATTTTCTCACTTGGAAACAACAAATGTAGAATATTGTAGAGACTCACCTGCAACACACAAGTTGGGAGTGAGATGAGTTGTATCAGCTGCTGCTCCTTCATCCTCCTCGTGACTCCGACATGTTTACGTTTAATCTCCGTGGTTCTCCTGTGTCGTGTCGTCACTTTTCAAACCTGCATGTTGCTCACTTTTATCTTTGTGAAGTGCTCCCACACTTTGGAGGACTTGGGTCGAACAGTTTTCGCTGCGTCGGTCATTTGTAAAATTTATTTAATTTCCATTGAAAACACCACCTCTGTTCTGCTTCCGCCTCCCCCCTCGCTCTGTTCAACTCGCGCTGCAATTTTTTTATTTTATTTACTTTATTCAGTCAGTCAGCATTGACAATGAACTTCAGGTGAACAAAACGGCTCCGCAGCGCCGTGAAAGAAGCATTATCGCGCGACGCAACAAATCGATAATGAAATTCGTTGCCAACGCTTTTAATCATCAATTTTTATTGATTTTATCAATTTGTTGTTGCAGCTCTAATGGAGACTATAACGTAATATGTCTGTATTATAATAATTAAAATTGGGATGTGCACACGGGCTAAAACATAAAACCTTAAACACTGGAGGTGGTGTTTGAAAAGCTGTAAACACCAAGCATTATTTTTTCTCAAGTCTCTGCCACTGCTTGAACTGCATCACCTGAATAACATCTTGGTGTTATTTTTGATCAGGACATGTCTTTTATCCCCCACATTAAAACGTTACTCAGGCAGTCCTCTGCCTTCTTCCACCTGCGTAATATCACTAACATTAGAAACATCTTATCTAAAAATGATGCAGAAAAACTGGTCCATGCATTTGTCACATCTAGACTGGACTATTGCAATGGTTTATTATCTGGGTGTCCAAATACGTCTTTAAAATGTCTTCAGTTGATCCAAAATGCTGCTGCCAGATTCTTAACTGGAGTTAGTGGGAGAGATCATATCTCTCCAGTTTTAGTTTCTCTCCATTGGCTCCCTGTCAAATCCAGAATAAAATTCAAAATCTTATTTCTAACCTACAAAGCTCTCAACAACCTAGCTCCATCTTATTGTTCCATATTTTCCTAACAGAGCACTTCGCTCTCAGACTGCAGGTTTACTTGTGGTTCCTAGAGTTTCGAAAAGCAGAATGGGAGGAAGATCTTTCAGTTTTCAGGCTCCTCTCTTGTGGAACCAACTTCCAGTTTCTGTCCGTGAGGCTGAGACATTGTCCAGTTTTAAAACTGGGCTTAAGACTCCTTTTTGATAAATGGTCGGCTTGGGTTTCCTGAGCTATCCCTTAGTCATTATGCTACTGTAGGTTTAGACTGCTGGAGAACAAACTGACCACATATCCTCACTCTGCTGCTGTCTTTACTTGCTCTACTCTACCTGTTTTGTATTTGTAATTATTTTTATCTTAAAATGTTTTTTTGTCTTTCCGCCTATAGAAAGTACATCTGGACCTGTCACTGTTTGTTTGTCTCTCCTTCCTGTCCTCTCAAACCCAGCTGGTCGAAGCAGATGGCCGCTCATCCTAAGCCTGGTTCTGCTGGAGGTTTCTTCCTGTTAAAAGGGAGTTTTTTCTTTCCACTGTCTCCTTTATGTTTGCTCAGGATTGGGAGACTGTGATGAAGTGAAGGTTCAAGACAATCTTCTGCTTCCTTAGAGAACTTGACTAGTTGTCTTTTTATGTACATGAATGTTTCTGTTCAGTGCCCTGAGATGACTTCTGTTGTGATTTGATGCTATAGAAATAAACTGAATTGAACTGCTATAGAGATAATTGTTGAGTGTGTTTCCTGTCAGTTCTGCCATTTCCTGCACACAGAACATGTCGTTGTGTTATGATTTACCCGTCGAAGGTCCAGCACATCTTGCAGCATGAACCGGATCCTTGAAGTGGTCTTCCTCTCCTTTATTATCTTCTCCATCTGGTTGAAGTACTGATCCATACGAGGCTGAAGACAAGCAGTAAGAATACTTGTTCTACTAGATAGTCATAAATGTTTACTAAAGCAGGTACACTGCTCAAGACAGCTTGTAAAATAAAATGTTGCTCTTTCATTTGACTGTTCTCTACCTTGGCCTTCGCAAAGTCTAGGTCCTTGCCGATGGTGGACAACAGTCTGCAGAGGCACTCCAGGGACTCCTCATCGTGGTTTTTAAGCAGCTTTACGATGCAGTCGTGCATGATGACCTCTGTGAGCATTTTGAGCTTGAACAACTCACCAATAAATTTGATGTTGCCCAGGGAGCGCCTCCTGGCCTTGTCTTTGGACTCTTCTAGCTCCTCCGTTAGTCGCTGTTTCTCCTCTTCCTGCCAGGAAAAGTTTAACACAACAGGACAGGAAGTGATATACCAAACTTTTCGGATACTTAGCTAAGTTTAAAATGCAGCTTTGATTTTATGAGGCAATACAATACCCCTGAAGCAGCTTCCAGCTCTCTCTGCTTCTTCTCAAAGATCTCGTCGTCATCCTTATCCTTCTCAAACTCCTTCTGACACCGGTTTAGCAGCAGCTTACGGAAATTCACAGTGGAGCCCGGTTTATCTGGGGTGATGACTTTAAGCTGAAAAGAGCAAAAAATCCGTATTACGAATTAAATAAATGAAATATTAAAACAGGAAGACATCAGTCTGCTCAACATTATATTTGCAGCTCCCCATTTCCTCAGTCCTATCACTTGGATCTGTGGTCCAGACACGTGGCAGTGAACTGAGGTCGTCACTGGAGCCCAAAAGACACATCTGTGAACTCAAATGATCGTATCTGTGGCTGCATGGGCTGTGATCAGTTATTTCCACAGTAGTTTCTTTTTAAATGACTGCCAAGTGCAACACGTACTAAACTGTAGTTAATTCAGTTAAGCGCCTAGCATTCCCCAAAGACATGCATATCACATGCCACCTTTCATGCAAGAGACTAAGATCATCTAGTGGTGAGAAGAGATGGACCAACAGCAGCTTTGGTCAAACCCCCTGGACATCTTATGGATGATCTCAGGGTAACCTGGTTATCTTCTGTTAGCGCTTGAAGTATATTACTACATATGAAGCATTAGCTCAATATTTGTGACATTTCTGAGTTGCGGTCATTTAATGAAAGCTTTATTAAAGTCCATTCAGCGGTTTATGATATATTTTGCTAACAGAAAAACAGAAAAGAGTAATGATATTTAAGGGCAAAGATTTTAAAAACAACAAATCTTCCCCTCTGTGTTGCAGATTCTGTGAATGTTGTTCTGCATTTACAATCAAACTGGCTGAACAACTACTGAAAACCTCAGCTCAGAGGTGACTTTAACAAGAATTTAACAAGATTAACACTTAAAAACAATCATTTGTTTGCTCGAAATTATAGTAAAGGTTTGTCTCAGTCTACCTTTTGCTTAATAAATGCACTTTGACGATCAAATCAGCTGCATTCAAATCAGCTGCATTTCAAAAATGGATTTGCGGATGCGGGAACATGCAGAGGGATGAGTCTCTGTACATGTCTTCAAAATTTAACAAGATAAACACCTAAAAACAATTATTTGTTTTCTCGACTTTATAGTAAAGGTGTGTCTCAGTTGAACTTTTACTTAATAAATGCACTTCAATGGTCAAATCAGCTGCATTTTGCCGGGGAAGCGCAAAGAAATTAAGCTGATTTGACAGTTGCTCCAGACAAGCTGGACGAAGGTGGCAGTCTATGGCAAGCAAATTGTGTCACTAATAGCCACTTTTACCTATTACATGACACAACTGCATGCCATACTACTCAACTGCCATCTAGCGGCTGAAAATAGTAGTGTTCAATATTTTCAGTCAATGAATGAAAACAGTCAAATCTCAGCCAAAAATTGGTTTAAATATGGAAAAAACATAAATAAGTCACTTCAGCATGTAAGTCGCAGGGCATGCAAACTATGCAAAAAAACTTTGACTTATACAGCATAAACTACGGTAGTCATTTATATGGTGATGATACATTCAGATTTTTATATTTTCTAGTGTGGATGTTTACATTTGCTGTTTTTATTTTTTTTATCCTTCAGCTATAACCAAACTGTATCCATGCTGTGTAAAAAGTTGCATGTGTCCAACTGAACAAGAGGTGAACTAATTTGTTCAGAAAATCTATAATGTGAATTTTAAATCAAGAGTTTTTCCCTGACTAAACAATCAAAATAAATGCAGGTTAAGTTTCTTAAACCAAGTAATCCTGTATTGCACTTTGCACACAAACAAGATATGAGTCAAAATATGAGGTCAAGCTTATTGACCCTTCCTGATCGTGGCACCACTTACCCCAGAGAGACAGCGGCACATGTTGGCGTAGGCCACTGAAAAGTCCGGTTCGGAGATGGCCTTTTCGAAGGTGAGGTCGATGACTCCTTTCAGCCTCTCCTCAGTGTCAACAGTCAGTTCCTGCACCTGCACCATGAGCTGCTGAAACTTCTGAGGGGTGAGTTTGTTGAGGATGCTGCGGACCCGTTTGAACAGCTCCTGTGTTTTAATCTGTTCAGGATCGTTCTCCTCAACATCCTCTGCCGCCACGCGGCTTCGAGTCGGCTTCTTCATCGAAGGTTTCCAAGCTTTTTCAGCCTTGTTGAGCTGCACGTCATCGTTGAGCGACATGCTGGTGATGATCTTTCGCGGCTCTTTTCTCTGGACTTGCTGAGAGCGACGAGGACCGCCGACCCCGATGCCCATCCCGGGAGGCTGCAGACAAAAAGTGAGGTGGACAGCAACACATTTTTCATGGAAGAACCGTTCTCTTTAAGCGAGCAGTGCTGTCACACTGAAAAAAATGTTAACTCACCGGTCCTCTGCTCCCGCCTCCCATGCCAGGCCTGCCAAGGTTGGCAAAGGAGGGAGTGAAATCAGGACCACAGTTCATCCCTGGGAGGCGACTGGGGTCAAGCTGACGAAGAGGAGTTTTATTTGCCTAAACAGGGAAAAACTATTACTGGTTGGCGGACACATTTTTTTTTACTCTACTGGGTTTTACCACCATTTCTGTTACGCTAAAGCACATTTCAAGTACCTTAATGTGATCTAAAAATATATATTTTTTAGATTTTTCTACCTGGATTATTGTGCATGCATCAGGATACCTTAATGTGACTTTCAGTGAAGAATGGACAAGTGGCCTAATTTAAACTGTTTAAGGTCAAACATATAGTTACAGTTTTCTGATGTTTCTACCTTGTCTAGAACAACATCACTGATGGCTGGAAGACCCTCAGGCCTGTTCATGCTGGCTGAGATGAACTGAAATTCCAGGAGGAACTCTCGGTCATATTTCTTCTTCTCTTCTGTGTTGATTGGCTTCCATTGGTCTTAAGCATAGGAATGAAACAGCAATGACCATGATGTCTTCCCAATCAGAACATAAAATTACATAATTAAACGTATTATCAGTATAATTAAATGTCAACAAAGTAAACCGTTAAAAAAAAAACTCTCATATGAGTTGACATTTCTTTTTCTGTGCTGTATAGTCAGTATCACTGGGCTAGAAAAGACGCCAGAAGTGATAATTCATCAAACTGAAGACATGTATCATTAGCATGATCTGGTAAAACACCATCTTGACCCAGGACTCAACCCAAGGAACCACCTTTGCACATGGGCAGCGGTGGCTGAATGGTTAGAGCAGTCATCCTCCAATGCAAGAATAGGGGGTTTGATTCCACCAGCAGTCACATGTTGAGGTGTCCTTGGGCAAGACACTGAACCCCTCATTGCCTCTGATGTCTGTCCCATCAGTGTATGAATGTGATAAAGCACTGATTATTCTTTGTATAGATCTAGTAGAGTGCTGTATGAATGGGTGAATGAGGCACAGATTGTGTTGTAAAGAGCTTCGAGTATCTTGATCAGATAGAAAGATGCTATAAGTAGTCCATTTACCATTTACATATAAGGCTGGGCCATATCATATCGCTCACGATAATACCAGTAAAAGAAGTTTGCCCGGGAAAATAAATTATATCATGATATGCTAATTTCATGAGGTAAATACGTCAGTGTTTCACCTACCATTATACAAGCAGGGCGCCCCGCCCAATTAACAGAATCAAGCGCACCAAACTACCGAACCAAACTGCGCACCCCCCTCCCCACCCACCCACCTGTCAGTACTGGCATAACGCTAATTAGCCACACGCAATACTAGCTAGCTAAAAAGATAAAAACAAGCAATGCGCGGCTCGGCTGTGTTTCTCCCCCCGCTCTACACTGCCGGTACAAACGCGCAGCTCAACTGTCTCTTGAGTTCCACAGTCCATGGACCAAGAACAGAGTCAGGTGATCAGAGACAGAGCATCAGAGAAATGAATCATTCCTGCAGGAACAGAAACACCACAAGCTTCAGGGTCAGCTGATCACCTTTTTACAAGTTCTGGAAGTTACAGCTCATTTAAAGGCAACATATTTGTTGTATGTTACATTTATGCTCAACAGATCTTAAGCTTTAATTTTATTTATTATTTTGGGAAACTTCACCTGCTTTAGTTTTAGTGGTGGATTTATTGTTCTATATTTTGTGCAGACTTTTTCAATCTAAATAACAGAAGGATCATTTTTATTTTTCATTTTTATACTTGGAGACTGAATACTTTACTAAATAAAGTAATTTCAGTAAAATTAACCCGTTTTCTTTTTTTTTTTAGTTTTTATATAATACTGCAAAGCAACATGTTAAGTTAATTTTGTCAAATGAATAGCTAAGATTTCGGTTTTTGTTATATCATGAAATTTATCGTTATCGTCAGAATGCTCTGAAATATCACAATATTATATTTGAGCCATATCGCCCACCCCTAGTTACATCACTGGTGAACTAACCTTCCTTGTACTGGTACTTTTTGTCGGTGGCATTTGGCTTCTGAGGATCAGGTTGAATATTCTCCGCATCCAGTTTGTCCTCCTTATCCTCCCAGGTCAGGTCTGCCTCCTCTGGAGCAGGAGAGGAAGCAGCAGGGGGCTTTGACTCTGGTGCCGGAGCTGGCTCGGGCTCAGGCTGCACAACTACCTGCTCCTTAATCAGAAAGGTCAGTTTAGGATCTTTGAATGGCAAATGTTTTGCAACCAAATCATAATAGATCTGATTGATACAATGATTTTGAATCAATTAAAGCAGTTTATTTCATTCTGTTGGTATGAATTACTGTTCTTATAAATACTACTCTTGCATATGTAATAATACCAGAGCACACCTCCTTACCGGCACACCCTGCCAATGGAACCGACAGCCCCGCCATAAAAATCAAGGCGTGTAAAAAGTGAACAAACATCTGTACATATCTAATTATTCTGTGCGGCTGGGGAGACACCAAAGCCCATACATACATCATCCCAACCTCCCAGGACTTTTAATTTAAAATGTAATGTATTAAATATAATGTGTTCAGACAAACATCATTAGCATACAGACATGTCTGACACATGTCACAACAAACTCCCAATACCAGAAAGGGTGCCGCTGTGGGAGCGAGCACAGCCCGTTTGACTCTCTCTTATGAAAACCTGAGGATTCTGCAACTTTAGTTCTTGGAATCAAACTACATTAACACTAAAATGTGTGTATTTGTATGCCCAGGATTAATGAAAATGTATGTCTACATTGTACTTTTCTAAAACTCACAGTGTTCTCTCTGTGAGGGACAGTTTCAAATGCTTGTAGTGTATCAAATATTTGCATATTCATAACAATTCTTATTCAATAAATGACTAAATATGGAAAATAAATTGTAGTAAATGATCACATGGGCTGAATTTTTAAAACAACCTTTGAGTGAAATAAAGTTGTTTAAGGCAGAAATCTACCAGTCTGGCAAATATAAATTGAATTGTTTTACTTATTTTGCACTGTGTAAACACTGTGCTATTATTTTTTATATCACCCATATGAATATAACAAAGGCAAAAATACTCTTTCAGTGTCAACTTCTAGGATTTTCATGACTGCAAAACACATTTTAGACTTGTGCACGTTGCATTATGAGGGTCGTATTTGAAAATTTTTATGTCACTAAAAGTGCTCAAACATTAAAAAACTGGTAACAATACAGGAAAACTAAACAGATTTGACAGAATCAATGCAAAAACTGTAACTTAATTTTCAGATTAGATTTTTTTTATCAGGCTGCTCCCTTCTTCGGGGGTCGCCAACAGCGAGCAAAGTCACACGAAGATGTTACTGTTACGTGCTACTGCCAAAACATTCAGAATCACCTTAGCCTTAAAAAAAAAGGTTTAATTTCAGCATTTGATATGTTTACTTTGTTCCAATGTGAATAAGTTCTGGGTTTAGGAGATTTGCAAACTGCAAAACATCCTGGTTTAATTTACATTCTACACATCTAACAAAGTTGAGTCAGGTCCTCTGGAAGGATTCTCCAGAAGAATCCATCAACCTTGATAGATTTGTCTACCTGGATTATTGAGCATGCATCAATACATTCTACATGATGTACTACCATTACAAAGGATGTTGTATGCACAGGAAAAGATTTAATCAACTTTAGATTACGGTAAGTAAAAAAATAGTGTTACTGCAGACAAACCTCTTTAAAGGCATCCAAGAGGTCTCCCACGGCCTCCTTTTTGTTCAGATCCTTCATCTTCCTTTTCTTCTTTGGCACAGACACAGCAGCTATAGAAAGTTGACAATCAGCTTCAGATCACTGCAAAAGTATCTAACAAGAACCAATTCTGTTGAGAAAAATCCTAAAAGAATGACAAATATTTGTGGCATTTTGCTCAAGAGCTTGCCCAGATTACAGAAGTTGGCCTCAAACATGAGGAGGACACTGACCTTGCATATTAGTTTCTACATGTGTAGGGGTGACAGTTTGTGTAGATGGAGTGTCCTCTGCAGTGGAAGTGGGAGGCGCAGGCATGGGCTCTGGCGTGCTGTCAGCTGTGGAAACAGGTCCTGCGAGAGATGATGTCTCTTCCCTGGTGTCAGACTGGGGCACTGGGTCGTTGTCTTTAACATCCAGGACAGCCTTAGGAAGTGTATCTTGTGCCTCAGGCTGAGCAGGTTCTGCCTGGACAACCGCTTTAACTGGAAAGTCCTCAACAATGTGTGCAGGTCCTGACTGGTCAGTAGGTTCAGTCGGGTTTGTGACTATTTGTTTGGCCACTTCAGTAACAGAGGTCTGACTGACATCCGGCTCAGCTATGGGGCTGTCGTCTTGTTCCGACGTGCCGATCACAGGAGCATCGGGGTCCCGGGGAGCTGGGAGTGGGAGGCCGTTGCGCAGACACAGCTCCTCTGGCTGTGCAATGGGAGACTCTAGCGGGTCGTCCAAGTGACAGGGTGGCAACATGACCAATGGCCTCTCTAGCTCTACCCCACCCACACCATTAGTGTTGGAGGGCTGAGCAGTGGATGGGTCTAAAGCATCTGTCTCTTCCACTGTAGCATCTTCCTTTGTCACCACCTCCTCTGTCGCCTCATTGACCAACATGTCCATTTTGTTCTGTGCAGAAGACGTAGGAAAAGGGTCAGGGAGGGGTGCAGGGTAGGCAGGTACTTCAGGTCCTGATTGAGGGGTTGGTGCAGATTCCCTTGGAGGCAAGGGAGCATCCATCACATCTGCAACAGGAGCACTGGGGGCAAGCGTGGAAATAGCGTCAAGAGAAGCCTTCTTTGATTCTGACAGTAGAGGGAGATCAGGTACGTTTGTGTTGGCGTCAACGGAGGTGGACTCTGAGGGATCAGTCTTAGCAGGCTCAGGGGTCTGTGACAGAGGAGGCGTTTGCTTCTCTTTGTCATCTGGATAGTCAAAAAGTTGGAAAAACACCTTAGTAAGACCGCTGTCAAATTCACAAGTTGTTCTTTACAATTATCCCCCTTCCACCCCCACCCCCTTTCATGCTGCTATTTATTAGTAATAATAATTAAAAAAAAAACTATCACTCTCTTTCATATTTGTCAGTTTTAATTTGTACAGTGTAAATACAGTGTAATTTGAACACTGGGCAGCAAGGTGGTGCAGTTGGTAGAGCTGTTTCCTCTCAGCCAGCAGGTTGCCCTGGTTCAAATCCCTGTCGGGGTTCTTTCTGGGTGGAGTTTGCATGTTCTCTCCGGGCTGCATGGTTTTCTCCCACAGACCAAAAACATGTATGTTAGGCTGATTGGTAACTCTGGATTGTCCCTAGGTGAGAGTGAGAGAGTGAATGGTTGGTTGTCTTGTTTGCCTATATGTGTCCATGTGACGGACTGGAGACCTGTCCAGGGTGTACCCCGCCTCTCCCACAGTGAAGGTTGGATATGGGCAACAATAACCCCTGTGACCCAAAAAGGACCAAGCGGATAAAGATAATGGATGGATCAGTGGTGTAGTCTACGTGATACGTGGGCATACGGAGTATACCCACAAGAAAAGCTCAAGAATTTCAGTGTACCCACTTAAAAGTGCCCAATGATACACAACATATCATTAGGCATGTGTCACTGATACATTAAACGGTAGTTAAACACTTCCATAACAATCTATCGATATACAGCGCTTCTTTATACATTTGCTTATCCAGCGAATGATTGTATAATTCTGTACTTACTACTTAATACTTGCTTTGATACTGTTTTATGAATTCTATAACATGTTTTCAATACAAAGTCAACTGTTGTACAAAGTTTGTTGTTCATTTATTCAAATATAAGCATCAGAGAAATTTGGAAATGTTCAATATAATTAAAAATCAAAATAAATTGATGATTACAGTGTACTAACCAGTGTACTTTGGTTTCTAAGTACAGTATACGGACTGACCGTGGTAAAGTTAGTTTTACGTTGGACATTGGACATTCGCGAATGCTCTGTGGCTTCATCTGTGTCCAACGTCCAATGTAAAATTAACTTTACTGCAGTATACCCACTACAAAAATGTAGACTACACCACTGGGATGGATGGAATTTGAACATTCAAAGTTAAATAGAAGCAGAGAGACTGCTGGCTTTTTCACGCCACCTTCAGCTTTACCAATAAAGACTTTATAGTCTTTTCACATAGCTGAAAAATGAGCTATCAAATCAGCTGTTTTTAAACAACTTTGTTCATCATCTCCAACTAAAACAACAAAAAATAAATAAATAAATAATAAAAAAAAAAAAAAAAAAAAAAAAAATAAATAAAAATATATATATACATATAACCGACACCAAAATTTATAACAATGATCGACGTCATACCATGTTGGTATTTTCAGTGTTTTAAAAAAATAAAAATAAAAGTCGTTTTGTCTTTTGGCTGTGTATAGGTAAGCTATGCTCATGTCCCTTTAAGACGCTACGCTACGTGCAGTCTGTAGTCACGTGACTCCACCCCATCCAGTCTGTAACAAGAAGTAAAAGAGACGGTGCGGTTGAGAAAATGGAGGAAATTTCAAATGTTGAAGCGGCAGCAGCAGCGACAGAGCTGGTCCAGGAGGAAGAAGAGCTGCTAATTTAAAAAAAATAAATAATAAAATGCGTTAGCATTAACGGTTTACAAGAGATCTTTACAGAGAGGTAGGCCTTTGCACATGACATTATATTTGCACAACTCATTGTTTACTTTTCCAAATGGCAAATGTGAAATTTATTTTTTATTCTTTAGTTTTATTTCCAAGGGAATGCTTGACAACTCAAATGTGACCATTTCATTTATGAGATTGTATTTTTAATACTTTGTGTTTACAGGAAAGTTATTTTACTCTTCTAAATTTGTTCAGTTGTGCTTATTTGTTCAAAAACTATTAACAACTAAAAGTACACATTTTCTTCATTTATTTGCAGAAGCTGTAGTTTTAAAGTTCAGTAAAGTGGTACTATACTCCCTGGACTGATCGTCCGACATTCATAACCCAAACGCACAACCATCAACCCTCACACTCTGATGTGAACAATTTGGAATCACTGATTAACCCGAGAAATTTGTCTTTGACCCGACTGAAGGAGGAAACAGAGCAGTAAACGTAAACAACATAAACCCACAGCTCTTGTTGCTATAGGAGAACTGGACGACCACTGTAACACCGCGCTACCCCTCCAAATATGCTGATGCATACTCAATAATCCAGGCAGAAAAATCTAAAAAAGTTAAATCTGGTCCTCTGGTCTACAATCATCTCCAGACAGCGCCCCCACTAACTCAGGAGCCAGGCAGAAGGCGAAATCCCACACAAGAGAGGCTCTAGAGCAATGTGGATATCCTAACTGGACCTTCCTGAAAGCAGAAAAGAAACCCAAACAGGACTCCAGTCAGCCAACGGGTGAAAAGGAGGAACCCAGACCAGTGGTTATTCCATATGTTGAGGGAGTATCAGAGAAACTGAGACGTTTATTTTCTAAACACAACGTCCCAGTGGCTTTTAAACCCCAAAATACATTTTGGCAAAAACTGGTTCATCCCAAAGATCCAGTCCCCCAGCACAAACAGAGTAATACTGTCCTGATGCATGATCAATAATCCAGATAGAAAAATCTAAAAAAGTTAAATCTGGTCCTCTGGACATTCAAAATGTTTTGAATTTTGAATGTCCAGAGGACCAGATTTAACTTTTTTAGAGTAATATTGTGTATGCTGTTCAGTGTCAGGAGGGTGATCAGTCTTACAACGGGGAACCTAAACAGCCACTGTCCAAAAGGATGGCCCAGCACAGAAGATCAACATCATCAGGCCAGGACTCTGCGGTCTACACTCATCTCCAGGCCAGCGGTCACTCTTTCAGGGATGAAGATGTTCACATCCTGGATAGAGAGGAACGATGGTTTGAGAGAGGAGTAAAGGAGGCCATCTTTGTGAAAAGAAACCATCCATCATTAAAAAGGGGTGGAGGCCTCGGGGTTCAACTGTCCCCCTCTTACAATGCTGTGATTGCTAGTATCACTCAGCCTCCTGTGAATAGTAAACAGCCATCAGGGTGCTGATGATGCATCGTTAGGCTGATGGTCCTTCTTGACCATGTGAGCAGCTGGTTTTGGTTGTCAGCAGCAAACTGGATGATCCACTACGAGAAGGTGCTATTTAAGAGACTGAGCTGAATACAGCACCTCAGACTGAGGAAGTCTTTCGGATGAAAGACGAAACGTTTCTTTTTTTTTTTATGTCCAGAGGACCAGACTTAACTTTTAGATGCCCCTCCAAATGTTGTTGAAGCATTGATAGTTGAGTATAAATGTACTGGTACTGCACTCACCGGGTCTAACCATTACTGGTGTAGCAGCAGCTGTGATGCTCTCACCGTTAGCCTGGGGCAGCGCTGGACTCTCTGATCCAGATATGGCTGTCTGTAGGGAGACACACAAACAGGGCAGTGAGGACAACACACATTGGTCTGTTTCAGCAGAAAACAATATCAGGGCCCCCGTTGGTTATAAAACAACACAACAGTGTTCAATAAAACGAGTTTATTTTTCCACAGCTTATAGTGCAACACTTGAAGACAGAATATTTGCTCAAGTGTTTATAAACAGTATTATTCAAATGGTTACTTTTTTGTATGTAAGTTTCTAAAAATCAAAGAGATAATGACAAGATAAACACTAATGTGAACTAGATTTTGGTTTTGGACTTCTGTAAAGTACCTGTTACCAAATATAAAAAGTAAAGTACACCATACTTGCATAAAGTACAACACCACCAGTTAATTTATTTTAAGAGGCATTCCACTGAAAATCAATACTGTATATATATTTATTTTATATATTTTAGAAGTTGCTATTTTGCTCACATGTGGTGGTGTTGGTGTAGAGCCACTACGGCCCCCTGACATAATCTCTTCTGTGATGTCTCGACCGCCTTGGTTAGGGTCTCTAATTCTGATCTGTGAAGTGAAGAAGACAGATAAAGTTAAAACCTGACAGGTGACAGTGAAGGATGGACACCAACTCTTGAGGATTCCAAGTTGAGTCAAATGTAAAAAGCAATAAGTTTTCTGAGCAGGCCTTCCCATGGTTCAATGCCTTTAGTCATCAACTGTTTGTGTGTCCTCCCTTTGGCCATGACCGTCCTTTTCTCATTCAACAAAATCCCCATTTCTCAGTGTAAACATCGAAGCAAACAAAATGCTACCACCACGTGCCATGTAAATTCATTTGCAGCACAACTGAATGTTATGTGAGTCACCAGAAAAGTTATCTGAAAGCAAGAATTAAATTACCCACCCTGGTCAGATAGCTAGATCACTTGAATGTTACCAACTAGGCAAAGCACAATCAACACACAGCAGCAGGCGTCCATGTGGGTCCTCACAGTACAACAAAGGAGAAAATCTGCTCACTCACATGCTACAAGCATGCTCTTATCTAGAAATAATCTCTTGCCACATCCTGTTTTTACTTGTTAAAACCTCAAGATGATGTTAAGCAAATCAGGATGCTAACAGCTAAAAGAATGTGGTTACCCCATAAGGAAGGAGGTTACCCCATAAGGAAGGATTGAGTTAATAAAGTTATAATCCAGCTGCTACAACACTCGTGCTCTGTGGCCTACTTTTGATTTTAAGTGCATCAGTATTTGCTCAACATTACTGACCTTTACCTGGTTTAGCTTGCTTGCAACTCCTCTCCAAGAGAACTGCAAACCCTGTAATGGGCCTCTTTCATCCCAGCGTTGGGAGTAGCTGCTCCAGCTGGCGTGGTGCTGGACTTTCAACCCCACAAAGCAGGACGGTGTGTAGATATGGATTGTTTTCACTCACATAATACGCATCCTGGGTGGTAGAGATGAGCTGCCTGACAGAGCAGAGCAGGGCCTGGTTGCTAGCTAGCGACCTGATCAACGCTCTCTCCTGATCTGAACTGAACAGGGACAGAAAAAGGCAGAAACTGGCCTTGCAAAGCTACCGTACTGGAATGCGCACCCCCGCCCATAGAGACTAACGACAGTTAAAAGGGGCTGAAGAGAGGAGGAGGGGCATGGTAGGAGAAATGGGAGGCTTTCCGGGGGGGAGGGGGTTAGCATTAACAAATGAGCAACAACTAGCAGCATCAACTCCCCTCTTCAGTCTGTTTCCCTTTTTTCTGTCATCCAACCTACACAGACTGAAGTAACACCAGATATTTTTGGCCTCACTCACACCTTCTGAAATCACAAGGAAACCAGCACAGGAAGAGGAGGATATCACAGCAGCAGAGGAAGACTCACTGCGTAGCAGCCCTTCAGGCTCAGCATGGGGAGGAGACTAGTGGCCACGTGGAGCGAACTATGTGCTGACATGTCCTGAAACCATCTCCCTTCTGGATTTTCTCTTTGCCACACAGAGACCAGGAGCAAATGCATAGGAACAATGAAAAAAGAAAAATTTCCATGCCTAATCTTTTTCATGGAATTTAGGACAAAAACAACCTGGTTGAAGTTAAATGTGACTGGCATAAGCAAAAAATACAATATTCATTTTGAGAGCCCACCCACCAATATGCAAGTATGTAAGTGCTATGTGTTGTCATCATTGCATGTTCCCATACAATGATGAAATTAATTATCTGCAATTAACCCATCACACCTGAGATACACCCAGGTGGAGCAGTGGGCAGCTGTGCAACCACCCTGGGAACAATTAAGGATTAGGTGTATTGCTCAGGGACGCCACGACATATTGCATGCATGGTGGGGAGTCGAACCACAACTTTCTGGTCTCAAGTCGGCTGCTCTACCTCTACCCCATCTCGATATCCGTGATGTGTGTTTGTCGATTAGTGGGCAGCAAAAACAAACACACACTAAGGTCCCAATGTCCACCATCCCAGCTTTGAGGTGTGTATCAAGTTATTGTATAAAAATCTATTCAAGTACTGGTAAATGTAAGAAGTCATTAAAATTTTTGCTTTGAGTAAAAGTTGCTTACTTGTTGTTACTTATTTGCAGGATGTCCTTTTTCATTCATTCATTCAACCTTTATTTAGACAGGTAAATCCCATTGAGCCTCGAGGACTCATTTACAAGAGAGACCTGATAAATGTCCTCATACCATGCACAAGTATGGTTTGAGCTTAGTTAGATCACCATGGCAACAGAAGCTGAGTTTGCGCTTAGTTAGACCGCCATGGCAACATAGGCCGTGTTTGTGCCTAGTTAGATCACCATCCTAACAGAGTTAAGAGTATGAGCTTAGTTAGATCACCATGGTAACAAAAGCTGAGTTTGAGCCTAGTTAGATCACCATGGTAACAGAAGCAGAGTTTGAGCTTAGTTAGATCACCATGGTAACAGAGGCAGAGTGTGAGCTTAGTTAGATCACCATGGTAACAAAAGCTGAGTTTGAACTTAGTTAGATCACCATGGTAAGAGGCCCAGTTTGAACCTAGTTAGATCACCATGGTAACAGAAGCTGAGTTTGAGCTTAGTTA